TGCGGTGCTATTGATGTCATCTGCCTTGGCTGATGTGGACGGTTGTGTCGTCGACGCAGCTGCAATGCTGCTGGAGACGATGCTCGCACTTGTTTCTGTTGTCGACGTTTTTGTGTTTGTCGTCGTCGTGCTGGTGCCAGTGGACGTCGACGTTGTGCTGGTAGTTGTGGCGGTGGTCGTAGTGGTAGTCGCTGTGACTGTGGTGGTGGTAGGGGAGTCTGTGGTGGCACTTTCCGCCATTGGAGCCAGAGCGCTGCCCAGGGAGTCAGAAGTCACGTTTGATGCATTGCTGAAGGGAAGCCCAGCCAATCCGCTGGCATTTCCGGTGGCAAACACTGGTGCATCACTTCTCGCAGGTGTCGTGGTGACAGTTGTGGTCGTTGAGGTTGTGGTTGCAGTTGTGGTCGTGTCCGTAGTTGTAACGGTTGTCGTCGTCTTGGTTGTAGTGACAGTCGTGGTCGTGTCCGTTTTGGTCAAGGTCGTTGTAGTCGAGGTGCCTGTAATGGTTGTTGTTGTCACGGTTGTGGTTTCGGTCGCAGTGGCAGTCGTTGTGGTTATCAATGTGGTTGTCGTTGTTGTCTCTGTCTGTGTGATTGTGGTGGATGTCGTTGTAATCGATGTTGTCGTCGTAGTGGATGTCTCTGTTGCCGTGGATGTTGATGTAGTAGTTGAGGTTTTCGTGGTTGAGGTCGAAGTGGTCGGACATGGTGGCAGACTGCAGTCCTGCTGATCTCTGTCAACACCTCTGCAGTGAACTCCTGGCAACAGTCGCGGCTTCACGCTTCATAGACACGCAAGTTCAACTCAACATCCGCCTGGCGTTGAGGACGGACGATAGTTCCGCTGCCGCTGGCGTGTGCCCCCAGCTCCACAGGTAGCTGTACAGACCGACCATTCCCTCCAGTCATCCCATGTACAAGGACTTCGACAAGTAGGATCGAAACCTTGGGACGTGAATTCGCAAGCTGTTGCCTAGATGAAGCACCAAACGGGGCCAAAAAAGCATGCGCCACGTGCAGGTCTGAAGAACATATTTTCTCCTTCTTGGTCTGTTCCTTGTGCGTCTCGAAACATGGAAGTCCTCCGTTTTGAGCCTGCAGAGGACACACCGAATGTTGTCGATGTGAAAAGACACGGCAAAGACTTACTACTGTTACTGCTTGATTGCGTTGACGTACCTCTACCATCTGGCGGGTGCTGACTGACACGGCTGAGGTTGAACATGGTGGGCATGATGACCAGTCCTGCAACATGTGGATATGCCAGCTCGACCCTGGTGCTCACGGCAGGTTGCAGTGCACCCATCATCTCGAAACTCTTGCGACCCAGTGTCCGACCAATCCGTGAAGTAGCAGTCAATCGGGCATTTCTGCACAGGGCCGACGATAAATGCGCAAAGGACAAGTCTTCAGCTCTCTTTCCAACAGCCGTCCTCCGTCTCCATGGAGTCACCCTCACAGTGCTGTCCTCCGCCTTTCTGTGGTGTGTTGTCGCGAATCCTGCGATCAGTACATTTGCTGGCATTTGCAGACATCCCTCAGCAGTTGCAGCGGTACCTCGTCCGGGTTCCTTGCTGATGAACGCTCTGGTCTGGACAGGTGTCCGACCAATCCTTCGACAGACTCTGACGCAGCCCACAGTTGCGGATCCAGCATTCGCCACGGCTCCAGTCCTGCCAGTCATCCCATTTGCAGTCCACGCACAGATTGCTGCAATTGGCCTGCCCGGGTCAATTCCGAAAGGGTTCTGCTAACTAATTCCAGAGAGTGCAGATGCCGCAGCCTCCTCGAACCACCCGAGGCAGTGATCATTGATCTGAGCACCCATGTTCGTTCGCCGCATCCTTACTCGCGTTCCTTCACAGAAAGGATAGCAGTCTGTCCTCAGGCACGAGTCACGCAGGCTGCACTTCGAGTGACATGCGAGGCACCGACTGGCAAGACTTGCACAAAATTGTTCACAGCCCAGGGGCCATTCATTCCAATCTGTGTACACGCACGGGGGCAGTGTTGCGGTGGTCGTGGACGTCGTGGTCGTCGTGGTTTCAGTAGTACTCGTGAAGGTTGTGGTGGTGGATGTGTTTGTCGTCGTTGTGGGCAAGGTTGTTGAAGTCTTTGTGGAGCTGGTGGTACTCGATGTACTTGGGACTTGTGACGAGGTCGCTGTGCTTGCAGTATCGTTTACCGGGGTCTCGTACTTCTCCAGCATCCACGTAGTCGAGACTTCTGAATCCTGGAAAGGTAGCTCACCCGGCTTCTGGGTGATGTGGATAGGGAGAATGGACAGTTCTGTTGTCGTCATGCTTGTCGTCGCGACCTGCTGCATTATAGCGAACATTCGAGAAGCGAAGAAACACGACTGAGGCAGCCTTAAACAAGCACATGTGAAGGCCTCTTCTTGACAGCAGAGGGCATCGAACCTGATCCGTGCTGGAGTGAGCTTTCTGCGAATGCGCATGATATGAATGTGTACAGAAAGAATTATACGGCGATTATGCGGTTTAACAAGCAGAGTGCGTCGACGAGAGGCGATGACGCGGCACTGTGTCCGCAGCTCAAAGAGGCTGCATCTGAGACTTGGACAACACATCCTCGATCGGACAAGTTGGAGATTAGGGCAGGGTCGGGAGGGGTGGAAGCTTTGGGATGCGGCGGCCTCCGCGTGCTACTGGCTTCTTTCTTGCTGACGCGTCTCCATCAGAGCTCGATATCCAAGCTGCAAAGGATCCTCGCCGCTGCGTTTCCTTGAACTTTGGCCAGGAAGCCCTCAGTGTGTCAACGATGGCGCGAGAGTCTGCGACTACGACTGGCCAGTTCCTTCCGAGGCTCTCCACTTGAGCAGTCGTGCAAAGCTTGCTTCGAACTGCTGCGCAGGCCAGCGATGCAGCTTCCAAAGTCAAGGCATTGCTCGAAGATCCAAAGGCACCTCCCTTTTGCAAGGTCATGACACTTGGCTCCCCAGATGTGCCATTCACTGCGAGCAGCCGAATGCTGGTCGTGGGCATCTGTGTCGTGGAAGGGGGTTCTTCTGTTGTCGAGGTGCGCGTCGACGATGTTGTGGGAGAGGTCGTCGACGTTGAAGTTGAGGAAGAGGTGGCAACTGGAGTTGTGGAGTTGGTCGAGGCAGAAGAGGAAGACGTAGTTGATGTGGTCGTACTGGTTGAGGTCAAAGTGGTTGATGTCACAGTGCTTGGTGTTGTAAGCTCTTCAGACGTCGTGACCCTCGGCGTAGTGGTCATGGATGTGGACTCACTTGTGCTGGCAGCTGCCGTGCTCGTATTGCTCACCAAGCTTGTGGTGGACTCTACCGGCTGAGTGGTCTCGGAGGTCGTCGACCGACTTGTCGAGGACTTGGTCGTAGCTTGGAAAGACGTGGAGGGCGACGTACTTGCCGCCGCCTCTGTCTTCGTAGTGGAACTACTTTCCGTAGACGAGACTTCCTCTGAGCCCAGGTCTTCAGCTATTTCGTCCCCCTGCGAACTCGATGTCGTGCTCTCCAGGGTGGTCGTAGTTGACCGACTGGTGGTTGCTGGTGATGTCGTTGATTCTTCTTCGTCGAAGGCTTCTGTAGAGCTTGCTTCGGTTGTGGCACCAGCCGTTGTACTCGTTTCGGCGTCTGTCGTGGACTCTGTTGTCGTGGTTCGTCCTTTTGAAGTCGTCCCTTCCTCCTCAAATTCCTCGGTGGTGGTAGTGGAGTCAGGCGATGTGGTCGTGGAGCTCGATTCTCGGCTGGATGTAGACTCCTCGGTGACAGATGTGGTCTCCTCTTCCTCATAAACCTCCTCAGTGGTGGTGGTTTGCTTAGCCTTTGTTGTCGAACGCTTCGATGTGGACGCATCGGATTCCTCAGTAGTGCTTGTCTGATCCTCTGTCGTCGAACGCTTGGATGTGGATGCATCGGATGTAGTCTCTTCATCATCCGTCTCCGTGGTTGTGGCACTGGTAGTAGTCTTTTCTTCTTCGGATGTGGTTGTAGTAGAAGGTGAGTCTGTTGTGGAAGTATTGGCTATCGCATGCGACCTGACGATGCCGTCCGAGGCAACAGCAGCCTCATGCAGTGCCGGCAAGAGTGCTGAGCAGCACCGTGCAGGCTATCACTAAACCCTGCTTCAGCAGAAGGCCTCCATTAAAGCTGATCTGTCAGTCCGCATGATGTGTCTCCTAAGCAGATCCATGCGCAAGAGCTCAGAGTGATGGCATGCGCTGCATGGCAGCAGGGTCCTCGGCATCACCTTGCCCGAGGGGTTGACCTTGAAGCAAGGGTAGACAGTGCGACAGCAATCGACCCAGTTGCCCCACTTTCTGCCCCGCCTCTGCTTCTATGTCCGAGGAATCATGGAGAGTCAGTGCTGCAGCCAGGTTCAGGATGCAGAAGAGCACCCAGCATCTCATTGATATGAACCTTTGCTGCCAAACCCATGCCAACTCCTGAACAAGCGACAGCCATCACATGCAAGCTGAGGCACGTATGGAATGTGGCAGGCAACCGCAGTGTCCATGTCATGTCGGACACATCTCACAAGCCGAGCGCGGCTGCGCAATAAGGGATGTTCGTGCGGCAAGCTTCTCTCGATGACCTTTTAGCTGGCGATCTACACATCCTGGATCCAGCATTTTGCCTCTTTGGTCCCTACATCTCATCATTGGCTTGCTGAGGCGAGTACATTGCGCGCACATATACAAAATGATTCTCTACATGTTGCTACCAAACCAAGAAATACGGGGTACAAAGGTGCCTTCCAGCACTTTGGGATGGACACGTCTTCGAGCCCCGAGCTAGTTCCAAGCACTGGAACCGAATTCGCATCGTTGCGGGTACAGGTCGTGAAAATGGGAACTGACCTTTTGCATGATCACCAGACTTACAGTTCCCGGCAGAAAGCCAGAAGCAAGGAAGCAGCCTTGCTCTCAGTGTCTCGCGGCTGTGCCGAAGAGAAAGGCGGCCAGCAAGCGAGGTGGCATGATTGCGGGCAAGCGAAGCTTCGCGAGCATTGCCATCGCTCAGGAGAAAATGCTTGACCTCGTCCCAGAACACTTCACACAATCGGCGTGGAGCAAACACTATCCAGAAATGCTTGCATGCTTGCCCCGACTGCAAATTGAGTGCACCGCTGCAGTGAGGCAAGCTTTGTGTCCTTGCTGGGTAGTCGAACACGTCGGGAGAGAAGTCATGCTGGTCTTGCAGATCGCTCCACATCTCTAGCCCCGCCAAACAGGCTTTGTCAGCCCCGAGCTTTCGCAAACTGCAGCATCTTCTCTCGTTTTGCAGCGCTCGGGCCTGAGTGGGAAGATGCTGAGCAGATCAGCCACCATGACACATCAAGTCAGGTTAGGACCTCCTTGTCTCGTGGGCGAGTACGGCGACATGAGGCCAGCCCTTCGGAAGATGCAGAGACGGCGGCGAAGCTTAGTCTGACAACGGGCTAAGGCTCGGTCCCACTTCTCGGCGACACGGGCGCCTGACCGATGCAACAACAAACTCGTCTGCGCCCGGGCACAAGACACAAAAGATGTGCAACCTCGATGGGTGCCGGCTGGCCAATGTTCTCCCTCACCTTGGAAGGGCCGAAAGCCCTAAAGACAAAGAGAGCCACGATAAACAAGAGCAGCCACCGAGCCTGAGAAGAGTCCAAGCAGTCTTGCTTGCGAGACAAGTGGAAGACATCACCCTCGAAGTCCTGTCAGACAAGCTTTCAGGCTCTCGACCGATTCAGGGAAACGTTTCCGCCTTGTTGAACTCCTTCTCGCGATGGCGACCTGCGGAGAGAAGCCCGCTCCATGTTAGTGGGTGTGGAAGAAAATTTGAACAGGCAGCCGGGATTTATGGTACAAGTACCCCTAGGGACCCCACAAGAAGAGCTTGAATCTCATGCCAGCGATGTGCACCACTGGCTAAGACAAAAAGGTTCGTGCAAAGAAGCACATGGAAATTGACGGTTGCAGTCGAACTCTCGTCCTCAGAGAAGCCCTAGAACATGCTTTGCAACTTGCCGAAATCAGGCTCTGCTGATATTTGTCAAAGGGCCAACAGAACACAATCTCGACCGGCAAGCCCTGAGCACGATCCAAGGCAGGCCGAGGCAGGCACGTGAGACCTCTGCGTTGATGGCCATGCCTTCTTTGCTGTCCCAAATGCCCCGCTCCACCGCGAGTGCCTGGTGGCTAACAACACAGGAGCCAGGGAAGAAAAACAGAGGTGGCAGGGGTGGGGCTTGTGCTGCCTGCTCCAGTTCAGGAGCCTTTTGGCCTCTGGGGGTCTTGTGCCCATGCAGCGTCGATGACATCTCCGCCTGCGGTCAGGGCAGGCAGCAGCCTTGTTTTGGTGGACCTTCTGCATGAACGTGACAGTGACAGTGGAGAAGGCCTCCTTCCTGTTTGCAGGTGTGGTGGCACCTGCCAGCCTGAGAAATCACTCATGTCATTGTAGCATTGTCAGATGCTTGACAAGTTTTCCAGGTCCGGCCTTCCTTCCTCCCGGCGTGCTGCCTCAATCTCACCGCGATGATCCAAGAAAGTGCAAGTCGATGTGCCAATGATATCCTGCCACAGCTACCAGTGGTCACTGGTTCGGCTGATGCATCTCGGAAAGCAGTGCCTGGCGCTGCTGCGTCGGTGCAGGACGGCGGCCCATTTCCGAACCGAACAGGTCGGAGTAGTTGCGCATTTCCTTGCCACTTCTCCTTCCAGTCCCCGAATCCAGGGAAGCCATGAGCCCAATTTGAGGCACCACCCAACTCCAAGCCCCAAGTATGACAAGTATTCATGGTCTGCAGCTGCCTTCCGGAGCGGGTTTCAGGGCTTGGGGTGACCAAACCTGAGCCCAAGCTCAAAGGGCTCTGTAGAGAATGTACATACAAATACATACTTATATACGCATATACTTAAATACATATATACCTAAACCCATACCTATTGCTGTACTTATACCTGTACATATACACATATACTTGCCCTAGATAAAATGACCCTTATCTTGTTTTAACACCTATCCTGCTATCCTGGATAAAGCAACACTGATCCTTGTCGTAGAATAACACTTATCCTTGCATAAAACAACACTTCTCCTTCCCTGAATACACCGAATCTCCTGCAAGACCAACACTAGTCTCAAACAACAAGGTCTTCTGTCGGCAACATTTCTCAAAGAGAACCGGTACGTATCCTCGTCAATGACTGCACACATCACGTTCACATGATATTATGTCCTGCAGATACTACCGAAACTTGTCCTACCCCAACAGGCCCCAGGGAGGCCCCCCCAAAGGCATCAGGCAGGCCCGTAGTAGAGATTTAAACAACAACCCCAGGGAGGAATGGCGGTGATTTGCTTCGACCCGATAGCATGCGTTGAATGACACTACCCAGTCAATCCCAGTCCTGAACAGTAAAATAACAGTTTAAGGGGCCGGGAACTGTTGCTTGATTACTGGCCAGGCTCCCTCTAAAGGACCCTGCCCTGTTGCCAAGCCCTAGCAGTAGCCCCCAAAAAAGCCACGAACACCCAGACAGTATATTATAACTGTCCGACCATTGTCACTTTATCAGACCGATGTTTTATATTATTATCGGACCTGTTGTTTCATCAGACCAATAAATGTTATTTCATCATGCCGATAAGTTTTAGTTCAACATACCAGTACCGAGAAGTGTTATTTGTCATACCGATATGTGTCATTCAATCAAACCGACAGCTGCCATTTTATAGAGATCCGGTTGTTGCTTTATCATGGGGAACGGAACCAAACAGGCCGAGGACATCTACTCTAAAGAGGCATGGCCAGTTACTGACAGAGGCAAGCCCTAGCCCATACACATAAATATATATATATATGTATGTGTACGTATGTGTATATATATATACATATACACAAATACATATATATATATACATATATATATATATACATATATATATATGCATGCATGTACATATACACTTTGCTATGCGTATATACCCACATATATATATATATATCCGCCGA